GGAAGTGCAGAAGGTGGGTGAGGTGCAGCTAAGGGCTCACGGAGAGGTCTGGTCCCAGTAAAAAGGAGGGAGAGCAGGAACTCAGGTTTGGTCAGGGCTGAGGGTCCTGCAGGCCAGGCCAGGGCTCCTGGAGGCTGTTCTCAGTGTCCAGGGCCACAGCCCTGAACTCACCTGATCTTGTCTGATCTCAGAAGCCAAGCAGGATTGGGCCTGGTTAGCACTTGGGTGGGAGACCAACCAGGAATACCTGGTGCCATAGGCTTTTTTGCTCCCCAGACCCCAACCACAGGCACACAAGCCCACAGGCCTAGCCCAACTCAGTTCTTTTGTTAACTGCCTTGCCAGGCTCTCTATGATTAATTTGTAATTCTTGTACACAACACACACCTCAAACATCACTTTCTGCTCTGAGTTTTCTTTTTATTTTCTTGACTAGAGGACCAGTGCATGAAATTCTTGCACATGCGGGGGGGGGGGGAGGGGAGGGAGGAGTCCCTCAGCCCAGCCTGCATCTTCTCACAATCCGGGACCTCTTGGGGGATGTCAGGCCTAAACTGGCAGTCGGACATCCCTCTCACAATCCAGATGCTGTATGAACCAGTGACCATAATTTTCATACAGGCGAAAGGCATGTTACTGTTGTATGGGAAGCTACATTTTTTTTTTTTGCCCTAATTATGAAAAGTAGTACATAACATGATCCTTCCGAGGCAGTAGTACCATTTCCCCCATCTTATGGGTGGAAAAAGTGAAGCAGAGAGAAGTTAAGTAATTGGCTTTGTTACACAGTTATAAGTGTCAGAATCACGGCTGACCACAAAATATACAAGCCAGAGTCCATGTATCTCATCACAGCATCATCCTGTTTTTTCAGTGTTAGAGTAGCTTTGCCAGGTTTTAATTTTTAAATCTAGGAGACTGTTTCTAATATCTATATATTAATAGATAGGATCCCTAGGCCTGGCTGGCAATCAGGGAGGACTATGTATAGGTGCGACCCAAGGGTGGGGCGATCAGGCCCCCACCCCCTTGCTGGGAACTGCCTTGATTGGCGGCCTAGTGCCACCTGCTGCCTGGCCCCAACCCCAATAGCTGCCAGTTGCCTCCCTCTGGGAGCATCTGCCCCCCTGGTGGTCAGTACATGTAATAGCAACCAGTCATTCCACCATTTAGTCAATTTATATATTAGGGTTTTATTATATAGGATGGAGTCTTTTGATGAAAGTTCTTAATTTTAAAGTTGTCTATTTATCAGTGTTTCTTATTCCTAGCGAGTTCTGTGGTATTTTTAACAAATATTCTCCTAGTGTAAAATCACGTTTTTTCTTTGTTTGTTTTTTAATCTTAAAGCATTATTGCTTTACCTTTCAAATTTAGAGGCATTCAATTGCAATGAATCTGCCACTGATTTTTGTGTGGTAGAGCTTAAGATTAATTTTGTCTTCCAATGGATATGCAGTGACCTAGTTCCATTTATCAAAAAGTCTTTCCTTTCTCCTACTGATGTCACCTCTATCATGAACCAAGTGACGATATATAGTATATGTGGGCTGCTTTCCATTGGTCTGCCTCTCCTTGTGCCAAAACCATACTTTCTCAATTACTACAGGTTTGTAGTTAAATTCTATGCCTTATAGTCTTTTTTTTATTATTACATAAAATAAAAAAATTGACCCGTGACCTTGTGGTTCATAGGTGGAGACTCAGCTACTGAGCCACACCGGTTGGGCTCACAGGTCCTGATATCTGACAGTGTGAATCCTCCAATTTTCTCCTTCAAGACTGCCTCTGCTATTCTTGGTCCTTTGCATTTCTGGATAAATTTTGAATTGCCTTGTCCGCTTCCACACAGAGTTCTGCAACCATTTTGTGTGGGGTTGCACTGGGTCTACTTTGGCAACAATCAACAGCTTAACAATTCAGAATCTCCAATTTTGAAAGTGGTGTATTCTTCCATTTATTTTTGTGCTTTAAAATTTACATTGTGTAGTTTTTAGTGTAGGGACCGCACAGTTTTCATTAATCAGTCATTATGCTGTACACCTAAAACAAATAAAATGAAATATGTCAAGGATGTCTCAATTTTTAAAAGTGTATTACTTAATTTCCAAGCAGCTTAGCTCCACAGAGGTCATAGAAAATGTTCAAAATTCTTTGGATCCTTTGAAATTTGTTCAAGTTTGCTTTGTAGCCCAGCAAATAATGAGTCTTAGTAAATTTCTTACACCTTTGGTTCCTCTGTTGTTATTGATTATACGTCCTGCCTCCAGGCCAGGGAGAAGGCGTGCTCAAATCTAAGGTCCAGACTAGGAAGAGAGGTACATCACTGTTTACATTCCGTTGACAAGAACATAATGTCCACATGGCTGGGCCTGATACAAAGGGATGGTAAGCTGAATTTTTACAAAGTCCTCCCTCTTTAAGATTTCAAGAGCCACAGGGTGTCCCACACAATCTTCCCGCTAAGCAACTCCAGTTGAGAGGTGGGGAGTCTCTCTCCAGAGCTCTGGAAGAAAAGTTCCAAAGAAAATCAGATTGGCCAGATTTGAATCACTTTTCTATGTTAAACCAGTCACCATGGCCAAAGAGAGGCAGCAGTCCTGTTGGGCTAGCCTGGTTCCCGCAGACCCATGGAGGGGTGAGCCTTATCCCTGCGCATGGAGGGCCCAGCTGGGAGGTGTGAGCATTTTGGAGCCAGCCCCATAGCTAGCTTCCCACAGGTGGTGAGCGCCTTCAGGAGGTGGCATGGGGCAGGGATTACACCAAACAGACATGTTCCCACCCCGGGGACACAGGCAGAAATGGGAGAGAGACGGCGCCTTTACAATGCTCAGGGGAGCTCACAATGAGGTTGCGATGACGCAGAGTGCTCTTTATGTAAATAAGAGTGAAAATTGTGAGGTGCGTGGCTGATGTAGATAATGTATGAGAGAGGTTGGAAGTTTCTTTGTCCCTCAAATGTACCAAAAATGGAAGGGACTTTGAAGACTTATTCACCCACTCAGAAGAGAAATCTAGGTCCGGAGAAGGGGAAGCAAGGAGCCAATGCCTGTCAGTGTGTGTGTGTGGGGGGTGGGGGTGGGGGGAGGTAGGGGGGTGGAGAAAGGGGGGAGCAGGGAAGGGGGGCAGCGGTCCGGGCTCCTGGGCCTGTGCAGGATCCAGTCCTCCAGAGAGACCTAAAGTCCCCCCGCTGAGCGACACCCGGGGGTCTCAGCAGGTGAAAGAAGCCTCGACCCCACAGCCACCAAACACTCTGGGTTCTGTGTGGTCCTAGAGCAAGAGGAGAAAGGACACACATCTTGGACACAGCTTAAAGAGAACGGAGACCCCAACCATCCTCAGAATGAAAAGGGAACCCACTATGCGGGAAAACATATTCACCAATGATACATCTGATTGAGGTTAATTTCCAAAATATATAAAGAATTCATACAATTCAACAAAAGGAACACAAGCAATCCAATTAAAAAGTGGGCAAAGTACCTGAATAGACACTTCTCCAAAGTGAGCAAGAGAGATATGAAAAAATGCTTCAAATCACTGATCACCAGAGAGATGCAAATAAAAACAATAATTAGGTAACACCTCACACCTGCCAGAGTGGCTATCATCAAATCAATAAACAGGTGGGGGAAATGTGCACTGTTGATGGAAAGCAGACTGGCACAGCCACTATGGAAAACAGTAGGGAGTTTCCTCAAAAAATTAAAATGGGAACTGCCTTTAACCCAGAGATCTCACTTCTGGGAATCCCAAAACACCAATTCAAAAGAATGCACCCCTATGTTCATAGCAGTGTTACTTACAATAGCTAAGGTCTGGAAACAGTCCAGGTGCCCATCAGCAGATGATTGGATAACAAAGCTGTGGTACATTTACACAATGAAATACTATGCAGTAAAAAAGAAGGATCTCTTATCCTTTGAGACATCATGGATAGACCTGGAGATCATTATGCTAAGCAATATATATGTTTTTCGTGATAAGCCAGTCAGAGAAAGACAAGTATCACATGATCTCACTATACGTGGAATGTAATGAACAAAGTAAACTGAGGAACAAAAATAGGTCTGAAGACATGGATGCATGGAACAGACGGACAAATTTTAGGGGGAAGGGGCCGGGAAGAGATTAACCAAAGCATTTAGATGCATACAGGGTGTTCCCCTACAAATGTACTCACACTTTAAGAACCGATAGCTCCATTTTGAAAATGAAATGCATTTTAATAAACACGGCCTTTATAACTATTCAAAGTGTCTATCTACATGGTTTGGGACACCCTTTGCATGCATAACCCATGGACACAGACAATAGTACCGTGAAGGCCTGGGGTGGGGGGGAAGGGTAAAGAGGGGAAATGGGAAACATCTGTAATACTGTCAACAATAAAAATAACTTTAAAAAATATACATAATAGCAGTGGAGAATTCCTCTTCTGCAAGCACGGTCCCCAGCTGTGACCCAGAGCGGCGGAGGACGCGGCCCTGCCCCGGGGTCCTCTCCAGCGCCTCCCCACGCCCCTGCAGGCCCTGCGCGGGCACCCAGCGCCCGGCCCCTCCCGCCGCCCAGCCGGATCCCGGGCGAGGGCGGGGCCGCGCGGGGCGGGACCCCAGATACGCAAGGGGCGGGGCGGGCTCTGGTGGTGGGGACCCCGGGGCGGAGCACGGCCGGGGTGTGGGGGCCGCAGTGTGGGGGCCTGTGCGCCGGCCCCGGGCCTGTGCGCCGGGCGGGAACGCGGGAACTGGGCCTGTGCGCCCGGCCGGGGAGCGGGGACGCGCGGGGCCGGGGCGGGGCCGGAGCTGAGTCTCCGCGCCGGGAGGGCGGGGCGGGGCGGGGCCGCGGCGCCGGGGCCTGCGCGGGGCGGGGACCGGGTTCCTGACGCGGACGTGGGGCGGGGACGCGGGGCGCGGACGCGGGGCCGGGCCTGGGCTCTGTGCGGCGGGTCCACGCGGAGCCGCCGGTCCCCGCGCCCCGCGCCCCGCGCCGGCGGCCTCGCCATGTTCACCTTCGTGGTTCGCGACGAGAACAGCAGCGTCTACGCCGAGGTGTCCCGGCTGCTGGTCGCCTCCGGCCACTGGAAGAGGCTGCGGCGGGACAACCCCAGGTTCAACCTGATGCTGGGCGAGCGGAACCGGCTGCCCTTCGGGAGACTGGGTGAGCGCCCCGCCCCGCCCCGCCCGCTGGAGCCGGGCTTTGTGTTGAGGCCACAGAGCTGCCCCCCTGCTCACCCCGCCGAGCAGGCGCGGACCCTGCAGGTCTGGTCCATCCTTCTTACTGTCCGTCTTCCGGATGGGTTTGGACCCGGGTCACCGCGCGGCCCTCCGCAGTCAGTCCTGCACCTCCCTTGGGCCGACGTCCCCATCGTCAGGTGGGACCCCTCCCCCCCACCCATCGCCCGCCAGACGACCCCCATCCCGCATCCGCGCGCCCCCTCTGTGCATCCCACGCCAGGCGCCCCATCAGCAGGTCTGGCTGAGCGCGGGGCTGGGAACGCGCCGCCTGTGCGGGCGGGAGGGGCACAGTGTGGTGCAAACCCCGAGGACCCCTCTGCTCCCCGGGGCTCAGATGACCGCCAGGCGCCGGGGAAAGACCCGAACTCCAAAAGCTGGAGCTTCTGACGGGAGCCCAGGGGAGGCCGGGGACGTGTGATTCCAGCCCGTCCCTTAGATTCCCCGAAGAGCCCGTGTTCCAGCGTGGGGCACAGCGGCGTTGCACATTTTTCACGGCGCCGGGCTCTCCCCCTGCCCTGCCTCATCCACGCGGTGGCAGCGGGTTTGGCCCCACCGGTGCGCTTTGCGGGTTGTGGAGGGGGCGGGGCGGGGACCACCCCCTCCTCTTCAGATGACGTCATTCAGAAGTTGTGCAGGGACTTCAGCTCACAGCCTCTCCTCCATGCACAGTCACCAGAAACTGCAGCCTCTGCCCTGGTGGCCATGTTCCCTGCCAAAATCCCCTGCGCCGGGGCCAAATCATAGGCCAGAGACCCACGCAGAGACTCGAGAATGAAGAAAAGCCATCTCTGCTTTGGAGGACAGCCAGGCAGAGCAGTGTCCTGTGTTCAAGAGAGGAAACAGTGTCTAGAAATAGGTGTGGTCAGGGTGGGGAGGGTGCAGGGACACAGACTGGAACAGGTCTTCAGGACCCAGCTGGCTGCCCGAGCTCCCAGCCTTTGTATGGGGCCGTCTGTGGTTCGGGAATGAAGGGTGTGGCCACACTGCCTTTACTGATTCTTTCTTTGGAAGGGACCGTGAACCACTTCCCCCACTTTTTAATGATTATACAAGTTTTTGACGCAGGGTAGGGTTGGTTCTAACCCCCAGACATCCTGGAATATGGGCAGTGTGCCTGGAGATCACCTTCTGTTAACTGTCTCCCCCAGAAGCCCCTGCACAGGGAAACCTTCCCTCAAAGGGGAAGGAACTCTGCTTACTGTCGGGAATGCTCCATCCACTTCCCCGCCTGCCTGGCTTCCTTCCTGTCTGTCAAAGCTTAGCTGGGATCCTAGTGTTAAAAATACACCTGGCTCTGCCGAAGCAGGTAGATGGCACTGCTGTGGTGCTCGGGTCTAGGAAGAAGGAGCAGAAACCACCCAGCAGGTCCACCGAGTCGGCAGGTGGGCAGGAGACGTCTGGCATTTGTGGGAAAGGAAGCAAGCAGCATCCCACACCAACATGGTTTCATGCCTTCACTGTAGGCATATTTTCCTTAAAGTGCAACACACAACCCCCGAGGGAAAATCGGGTAGAGGCTCAAGATGCCTGGGCCAAGTGGGGAGAGGGTAGGCAGCCCAGGTGTGAACCAGGGAGCTGGTGATGGCCAGGCAGTGCCAGAAACTGTAGTCAGTTGTCTACTGTTCTCAGAGCAATCATTTATACCTCTGGCAGCGTCAACTCAAACTCCCTTCCTTTGGTTTTACTTTTGCTTTTTGATGCTGGAAATCCAATGCATTTGGTTAGGATTTTAAATTACATCCAGGCTTTTGTTTTTGTTTGTATCCTTTCTGCTCTGATTTGATGGAGGAGGGGACTTGCCCTAAGACCTAGTGAAAATGTGTTTCCCTGCGGGGTGATGCACAGAGGAAAGTCCTCAGGCTTTAACGTTTGTGGCCTTCCCTCTGCCTCCCCTTGCCTTCGGGATGCGCCGGAGAGCAGGAGCGTCCATTCTGCTGCCTCCCCTGACGGCTGTAGGGAAAAGGCTGGCAGGTCAGGAGTGTGACTCCGCCGATGTCCTAACTCTACAGAGACAACTTATCAGTCAGTGTGTTAAGCCGGGAAGGGGATCCGGGAGAGGTGATACAGAAGGACAAACAGGCAGCAGTGGTCTCCAGCAGCTCTGGGATGTGGATATTATAATCTCCCCCAGGGGGAGGCTGAGTGGCCCAGTGGGATGCGAAGGCAGGGGCCGCGGGGTACAGGCAGCAGAATCATTCCTGTCCCACCCCCAGTCCTGGAAGGGAGAAAGCGCTGGTGTGACACAGCTGTTCCCTCTCCTGAGCCAGGCCCGGCCCCTCTGAACCTCCCTTTCCTCCACAGGTCATGAGCCTGGGCTGGTGCAGCTGGTGAACTACTACAGGGGGGCGGACAAACTGTGTCGCAAAGCTTCTCTAGTGAAGTAAGTGCTCCTTAAAACCTTGATTTTTTTTTTTTTTAAGTGATGTTCACTTTCATCATGAAGCACTTAAGGAAGAAATGCGGGGTTATTTTTAAAGAGCAAAATGCTTTTTATTTAAAAAGCCAACGCATATCTGTTCTGGTGCTTCCTCTAAGCTGCTTGGATTGCAACCCAGAAGGCTGTCATCCAGCACTTGACAGAGCCTGCCTGTCTGTCTGTCTGTCTGTCTGTCTGTCTGTCTCTGAGTGAGGCTCCCAAAAGCAGAGCCTGGGATGGGTACATTGTGTAAGTGATGGACTGGGGATGTATTTTGTACTCCAGCATCAGTCAGCCATTGGTGAGAAGTGGGGCATTTCTGGGCACAGCTGGTCCCTGGAGAAGGGGCACGCACAAGACCTTGGCAGTGGCTCACGGCAGCCAGGGTCCCCTTAGAAAGGACACCTGGGACCGCATCTGCTGCACTGCCCCTCTCGGCGCGCGTGGGTGACGGCAGGCATCCTAAGAACAATGGCCTGAGGTAGAGGAAGCGATATTATCCACTGACCTTGTGATCTCAGCTTTCCCTTGGATCAGTTGAGGCAAATTTCCTCCTCCCTCTGAGTCCCACTATGTCCCTCGTAGGGGGTTGTGAGGAGGGATAAAGGTGATGTGTGTAAAGTGTGGGGCACAGGGTTGATAGGGAGCATGTGACTCTGTGCCTCAGTTGCCTTCCCTGTAAATCAGGGACAATAATAGGAACTGCCTCGGGGTTGTTGTCAGGACTGAGTTAATTTATGTGAAAGCTTTGAATAATGCTGCCTCAGAGGTCACTCTGTATAAGTGAAAGGTTATTGTTATCGCTGCTGTTGTGGTCATCGCTGCGGTTGTTGCCATTTCTATAGGGAAGGCGGGTATGGCCCCTCACATCAGGGCTGCTGTGGCAGGTCTCCACTGTCCTTCCCGTGACGCCGAGGGAACCTGTGTGCGCAGCCAAACAAGTCGCTCAGGTGGATGACACTGCACCTGCTCTTTCCCCACTCTTTCTTTCTAGACTCTAGACATTTAAAGGTGCAGTCTTCATGGGGATATGCCTCTCTTTTTGTTCAGACTCAATGGCCCCAGTGACTTAGTATCCACTTCTCTCAGTGAGGAGACATGCTTTCTGAAGTCTTCTTTATAAATAGATAAATACACACACACACACACACATATATATATATATATATATATATATATATATATATATATATATAGTTTACCAAGTAATAGATAAACATGCTAATTGACCGTACCTTCACGACGCCCACAGCCAATCAGGAGTGAGTAACCAACAAAGATGGTGGTTAATTTGCATACACAGCCACAAAGTGTCAGGCCTGTCCCAGCTGCTCTGGGCCTCTGAGTAGTGTAGGAAGGTAGAAAGGCAGCTCTGGACCAAAGTGAAAGCAGTGCCAGCAGCCAGGGAAAGGAAGGCCCATTCTGGCACGAATATTGTGCATCAGGCTTCTAGAATATATATAATTATTGTTTCAGAGAAGAAGAGAGAGAGAGAGAGAGAGCCCCCCGAAACCGGTTTGGCTCAGTGGATAGAGTGTCGGTCTGTGGACTGAAAGGTCCCAGGTTCGATTCCTGTCAGGGCATGTACATTGGTTGTGGGCACATCCCCAGTCGGGGGTGGGCAGGAGGCAGCTGGTTGGTGATTCTCTCTCATCGACATTTCTGACTCTCTATCCCTCTCCCATCCTCTCTAAAAAATCAATAAAATATATTTAAAAGAGAGAGAGAGAAACATCAGTGATGAGAATCATTGATAGGCTGCCTCCTGCATGCCCTCTACTGGGAATTGAGCCTGCAATCCAGGCATGTCCACTTCATCAGAATTGAACCCAGGATCCTTCAATCCACAGGCCGAAGCTCTATCCACTAAACGAAACTGGCTAAGGCTAAAGTCTGATTACACATTTATTATATGTTAGATGCAAAAGATTCTTTAACTATGAGTGAGACATGATTGTCCAGATTATTCATTTAGAACTTGATATAAAATGTTTATTTAATATTTTTTCTACTATAATTTTTTTCCTATAAAGATAAAGGTAGAGCCGAAACCGGTTTGGCTCAGTGGTGGAGCGTTGGTCTGCGGACTGGAGGGTCCCAGGTTCGATTCCGGTCAAGGGCATGTACATTGGTTGCAGGCACATCCCCAGTGCGGGGTGTGCAGGAGGTCGATGTTTCTCTCTCATCGACATTTCTGGCTCTCTATCCCTTCTCCCTTACTTTCTGTAAGAAAAATCAATAAAATATATTAAAAAAAAAAGATAAAGGTAGAATTTTGCTTTTAGGAGTGAGAACAGAGGATGCTGTAGGAAACTATTCTGAGTATTTGCATGTTCAGCAGTTACTATACTGAGGTGGAGTGTGTAGTACAGGACACATGACCAGGTCTGAGTAGGTGTCTGTTCTCTGGGACCTTGGACAGCGCCAGGCTGACTCCCAGAGGCCATCTGTAAAATGGGGCTGATGGTGATCACACCTGCTCTTTGCCCCTCGGTGGCATGCAACACAGTCTATGATATCTTGACTTATGCAGACTGGGGTTGTCCTCATCTTCACACGTGCCCTTTATTCTCTCAGGTATCCTGAGAGGGAGGGTAGTCATTCCGGGAGATGATAGTACCCTTTATCATTTTATCTTTTCCATAATTTTGCATGGCTCAAAAGGGCTCAGAGAGTTAAAAAAAAAAAAAAAAAGACATCTTAGATGGCAGCTCATGGAGGACAGCATGAGCCAGGATGATGCCAGCCTGTACCCAGAGGACCAGGGACAGTGCCACTGGGCAGCCGCCAGAGGGTTTCTACTAGGATCCTACCCTGGCCCTGGACTGCAGGCATCTTCCCGCATCACAGGGAGTGTCAGATTCATGGCGGCCCAAGGCCACAGACTCAGGGCCCTGAAGGGCTTTTCTTCCAGCTCGTGAGCGTTTCTCCCCTGGAGATGTAAATAAGCCTCCAGGCATGATTTCTTTCCAAACAGGACAAATGCAAAGAACTTCCTACAGAAACTGGTCTTGGTTTTGTGCAGGAAATGAAGGTGATCCTGAGGGCCAGCACTGGCCAACAGGAATGGAATGCTAGCCACTGTGACTAAATTTCCTAGTAGCCACACTAAAACTAGCACAAAGAAGCAGGTGCTATTTGTCTTAATAATATATTTTATTTTATGTAATCAAATAATCCAAAATAAAAATTTTATTTATTATTATAATTAATAATTTTATTAATTATATAAATATAATTAATATTTAAAAATGAGTGATGTATTCAGGTTTTGTTTTTATTTGGAGTCTTCAGAATCTAGTGTGTATTTTACATTTCCAGCACATCTTAATTCAGGCACTAAATTTTTATTGTTCTGTATTTAGATTTCATAAAAATTTATGCTTAAAAAAAGGTTTATATACCCAATTTGCTCCCACCTATGTAAAAAATTTTCAATAACTGAATCAGATACCAAGTAAACATTTTTCTTTAATAATCACATGCACAATGACAAAACAGGATGATTTTATTAGAAGAATTAACTTGGATTTAAAGCAAAGGTATAACATTTTCAAAACTATGTCCAAGTTAAATAAATTCACCAATTTTTGTGTTAACTCAGTAGTATGCTATCAAATTGAAAAGAGTATTGAATAAATTGAAAAGAACTCTAAATTTATTAACTTCAACCAAGTGTTCTTCAAAATTTCCCTTAGTTTTTGCAGCTACTTTGCTGTCTGTTACAGTTAAAAATCTTCTGCATATTAAGGCATGTTATAAAAATATGTAAAACCATTATTTTTGACTTGTATTTTAAAGTCCCAGCATAAATTCTCATACCAATTTGGCTGGATCATAAATAAAGTTTTCTTTTCTCTTCTTCTGAACTTTAAAATTAGCTTGTTTGTAACAGTGTAAAAATCACACTGCCATTTTTTAACCTTTGATTATTGGGTGAAATAATGAATTATTGGAAATAATGGTTTAGCCCTAGCCGGTTTGGCTCAGTGAATAGAGCATTGGTCTGCAGACTGAAGGGTCCCAAATTCAATAACAGTCAAGGGCACATGCATGGGTTGCAGGCTTGATCCCCAGTAGAAGGCATGTAGGAGGCAACCAATCAATGATTCTCTCTCATCCTTGATGTTTCTCTCTTGCTCCCTCTCCCCCTTCCTTTCTGAAATCAATAAAAAAATATATTTTTAAAAATGATTTAGCAAGCATTCCTTTTATTTCAAGAAATTCCTTTTATTTAGTGTTTTAACTGTACACTAAGGCTTTACAAAACTCTTCCCTCTGACCATCCCTGGCAAAGAACACAGCATCATTAAACACTGCCTTCTGTGTCTTGCAACAGGTCTGTACTGGTGAGTCATGGTAGCATTGGCAAGCACATACTGAACCAGTGTAATAGCTGTATCCATGATACTTCCCATGGAGTGGGCTTCAGAAAACAGTGTAAATTTTTCCAACATGCATCAGATAGAAGAATGGAGTAATAAAGGAAATATCAGTCTTAAAATCCCAGTAAATCGAAATTTAACTCAACCCTGCAGACACTGATTTTTCGCTTGTAGGTGGAACTCATCTTTGACAGATGTAAATGATTAAAAATGAGCCACACGGCAAGCTTGATATTTTTAGGCTTCAATTTGACAATTTTCCCCCATATATTTGTGAATCCTTTGAGGAGACAGACCCAATATGTTAAGTGGGCAGCCTCTACGTCACACTGCTTATTTAAAGCTAAAAACAATTTTTTTAAAAAATTTTCAAGTTTTGAATCAATCCTTATTGTTAAAAATGTTTTATACTCTGTGGGCAATTACTTTACTGGCTTGACTAAAGATTGTTCATTATTTGTAAAATATGTTTTTTAGTCTTATTTCCTCAAAATGATTTCTGTTACCACATTTTTATCTGAAGTGCTTTCTTTTTTGTGTTGAATCCAAGTCATTTTATAGCTGACCGAAATTACAAGCACAGATTCTGTTACACATTTGTTTACATTATTTTGTTGAATATTTCATTTGAATTTCAGCCACTAATTTCATTGATTCTTTTTTGACTGTTGAGGGGAAGATCAACTTCATTATGTATTTGCTACACATGTCTCATGTACACTCTGCCACAACAAATTGCAGTTGTTTGTCATTCGTTGTAATATTTGTGTCATACCTCCCAGCCTACTGTTCTGGTTGTAGTTCTAGCTTCTGTGTCCCTGTTCAGTTGCATCTGTAGTTTAACTTTATTTGAAATTTTAAAGTTGCCCACATTCATTTTTTTAACTAGACAAATGTTACATTTTACTTTAGTTACCAATTATGATTTATTTAGCTATCACTGTAACACATGCTGTCTGCATAATAAACACATCACAATGCCTCATTATCACATGGGGAAAGCCACGTGGACTGAGTCAGCCCATTTTCCCTGAGTGAACAGTAGTGTGTTTGTGGTGATGCAGCAGTGCGCCTGGCATTGAGTGCGCTTGTGTGCACGCCGAGATACAGCACCCAGGCCCTGCAGTGGTTAAAGTGAAATGCCCTCCTGCCAAAACAATGAAATTGTTGCTTAATGGACAAATATTTTACAGTGCTTTGGCTTTTAAATTAAAGCTAAGTTTAAAATTCAGTTCCTCTGAGCCCTTGAAATGTGTCACCCTGGCCACATTTCAGAAGCCACATGTGGCTAGTGGCCACCCTATTGGACAGTGCAGAGAGAGTTGAACATTCAGTGAAATAGTAATGTATTTGTCCCTTTAAGTCTGAGTAGCTCAAATCCTGTTGTCTTTAAAATAACTTTATTTTAAATCTCAATTTAAAATTTGTTTTCATTATTTCTGCTGTTTGCGCATAGACTTTGGGTTTTGCAGGTGAATTTTAACAGAAGCTTAGTATTCGAAGTTGGATAGAAGACGAGCCCAGCTTAGGGAAGGCCCATGATTGGTTCTTGGCTGGCTCTGATCCCTGGGGAGGGAGGGCCATGCAGAGTGAGGACTTTGGAGTTAGGGCTGTACTTGCTTTGTGCCTGTGTCTTATGTACGACCTGAAGGATACTGGAAAATGTACTCACTTTGGTGGGGCCCAGTGTCTGATCTATGAACTGAGATGCTGGTGCCTCCCCCTCAAGGGTCCAGCTGGAGAGTAGACGTGGTGGGAAGCCGTTCACAAGCCCTGCTGCTTATGAAGTGCCTCGCCCAGAGCCTGGCTTTATCTTCTGTTTGTCATGTTATCTGGGGGCAGGAGGTACGTATAGTTATGACCACTGGCATCCAGTGTCCCATTAGAAAGATTCCTTTTTTAGTCTGTCTTGAAGCCAGGGAAGTGTTGGCTCAGGATTATTTCAAGTTAAGTTTCCTTGGAGATTACATATATATTAGAAGCCCAGTACACTGGGCAGGGGATGTCCCTCAGCCCAGCCTGCACCCTCTCTCAGTCCGGTACCCCAGGGGATTGGCCTAAGCTGGCAGTCAGACATCCCTCTCATAGTCCAGGGCTCACGCAGTCCAGGACCCCTCACTCCTTACTGCCCGCCTGCAGTGGAGGCAGAAGAGGCTCCCTCTATAGCCCCTGCTCTCACCAGCTGTAAGCCGGCTTCTGGCAGAGCAGAGCTCCCCCTGTGGGAGCCCACTGACCACTAAGGGGCAGCTTCTGCATTGAGCATCTGCCTCCTGGTGGTCAGTACACATCATAGCAACCAGTAATTCCACCAGTTCTTCCATTGTTTGGTTGATTTGCATATTAGGGTTTTATTATATAGAATATATATATTTTAGAGAGGGAGGGAGAAGGGAGAGAGATAGATACACAATGATGAGAGAGAGAATCATTGATTGCCTGCCTCCTGCACGCCCCCACTGGGGATTGAGCCTGCAACCCCAGCATGTACCCTTGACTGGAATCAGTCCACAGGCCAGTGCTCTATCCATTGAGCCAAATCCACTAGGGTTAGAGATACATTTTTAAAAGAGCCGAGGTTCTGGACATGGGGACCCTTTTGACCCAGCTGACACATGCCTGTAAGGTTGCATGGATAGCTGTGTGCGATCTGTAGTGCATTACAGATCAGTCCAGGAAAGGAAGAGCAAAGACTGGGATAAGGAGACCAACCGCTGGCCCTGCTTATATGCTGCCCCCTTGTCAAGCTCTGGAGGTAGCACTGGCTTTTCTGAAGAGAGTGACAGACGATTGACCCTCTGTCATCTGCCAGGCTAATCAAGACAAGCCCAGAACTGGCCGAGTCCTGCTCATGGTTCCCCGAGTCCTATGTGATCTACCCCACTAACCTCAAGACCCCAGCTGCTCCCGCGCAGAATGGAATCCACCCGCCGATGCCTAGCTCGAGGACGGACGAAAGGGAATTCTTCCTGGCTTCTTATAACAAAAAGAAGGAGGATGGAGAGGGCAATGTTTGGATTGCAAAGTCATCTTCCGGTGCCAAAGGTGAGTTGGCATTGCCATCCCTTAGGTGCAGTCGTACGCTTGACGTTAATGATGTATTTAGATGAGTTACTCTTCTCAGCTGAATCCTGAGGGTAGTTAGCATGTAACAGTTAGTTACATAGTCTTAAATATTAATCTACATGCTGGAGACTTCTGCATGTACATCTCCGCACATGTACTCTCCCGCTGGGTCTTTTCCTGTAAGCTCCGGATTCAATTGCACACTCTTGGGCATTTGTCCCAGAGAAAAGAAAGTATGTTCATGTAAAACCTGTGTGTGATTGTTCACAGAAGCTTTATTCATAATAGCCCCAAACTGGAAGCAGCTCAGATTCCTTCAAAAGGTGAAAGATTAAGCAAACTTTCATGAATCAATCCCACAGCAAAAGAAGGGAATGAACTATTGCTAACATCAGCAACTTGGTTGAATCTGCAGGGAATTATGCTGTGTGAAGAAGGAAAATAACCACCAATTCCCAAAGGTCACATAGTGTATAATTTTATTTATATAACATTTCTGGAATGACAAAGCTATAGAAATGGAGAACAGAATAGTGCTTGTCTAGAGGGTGCTATGGGGAGGTAGGCAGTTATGATTTTAAAAGAGAAAATTGAGGGATCCAGGCAATAATAAAACTGTTTAGAACAGACAAAGATACTTGCAAATCATGTCTCTTAAGAGGCCATCTGCATCCAGAATGTATAAAAAACTCATATAACACAATAATAAAGAGACAACCCAATTAAGAAGTGAGCAAAGAATCTAAATAGAAATTTCTTGAAAGAAGACATACAGATAAGATAGTCTATAACAACATAAAAGCATGCTTGCCATTATTAAGCATTAGGAAAGTGCAACTCAAAACCACATTGAGATATCACTTCACACCCACTAAAATGACTATAATTATGAAGACAGATGACAGCAAGTGTTGGTAAGAATGTGAAAAAATTGGAACTCTCATATATGGGGGGAATGTAAAATGGTGCATCTATTTGGGAAAGCAGTTTGGTAGTTTCTAAAAAGTTAAACATAAGCCGAAACCGGTTTGGCTCAATGGATAGAGCGTCGGCTTGGGGACTGAAAGGTCCCAGGTCGATTCCGGTCAAGGGCATGTACCTTGGTTGTGGGCATATCCCCAGTAGGGGGTGTGCAAGAGACAGCTGATCGATGACTCTCTCTCATCGATGTTTCTAACTCTCTATCTCTCTCCCTTCCTGTCTGTGAAAAATCAATAAAATATATTTTTTTAAAAAAATAAATAAATAAAATAAAAAGTTAAACATAAAATTACTATATTATTCCACTCCTAAGTATATTTCCCAGAGAATTGAAAATATATGTCCACACAAAACTTTTATGCAGATTTTTCTAGCAGCATTATTCATCAGAGCCAAACCACAGTAGAAATAATTCAGATGTCTATTGGTTGGTGAACGAATGAGCAAAATGTGATATATTCACACAAGGGAATATTATTCTGACATAGAGAGGAATGAGGCACTGCCACATACTACAACATGGATGAACCTTAAAAACATGATGCTCTGCCTGGGTTGTGGGCTCAATCCCTACTGGGGGGCCTGTGGGAGGCAGATGATCAATGGTTCTCTCTCATCATTGATGTTTCAGTCTCTCTTTTCTTCTCCCTTCCTCTCTGAAAACAGTAAAAATATATTTAAAAAATAAAACATGATACTCAATTTAAAAAGCCAGACACAAAAAAGCTACACATTGGATGATTCCATTTATATGAAGCATCTAGAACAGGCAAATCTATTGTAAATTAGTGTTAGTCAGGGGCTGGGGTGAGGAAGGAATGGAAAAAGACTGCTAATGGATGTAAGGTTTTCAGGAGGTGATGAGAATGTTCTAAAATAAGGTTGTAATGATAATTACTGGAATATACTAAAAACCATTGACTTGTACCCTATACAAGGGTGGGTTTTATGGCATGTCAATTATATCAGTGAAGCTGTTAAAAAGGATATTGTATCATTTATTTAATGTTGATGGATACTTTGAATGTAGCCAATTTCTTTCTGTTACCGAACTGCAGGGAATCCTCTTGCCCTTGTGTTTCTCTGCCCCAACCTTGCTGGTGTTGCCATAAGAGAGGATGTGGACGTGGTCACAGGCAGGACATCATCTTCATCACAGCAGGCAGTGACCCACAGGAGAGTGGCATTTATGTAGGGTGCCTGGACCTTTACAGTGTCCTTAGAAGTGAAACTTCATGGTTGCAGCTGGCCAAGACAGTGTTTACAATCCTGAATGGAGGAAAAGCTGAATTAGCCTGGTGTTTGGTGGGCGGAGGGGAGAGTGTGAGAGATTAGATGGGGGAAGGGTGGAGAAAGAAGAGTGAGTAGCCGACCAGAACTCCTGTCTGTGTTTTACTGCTGTCAGTGTTTCCTCCCTGGCTTTGCAGGGAGCGGATCCTCTTGGGATGGGCTGCACTAATGTTCGTTTTAACTTTACGGGTTAGGTGAAGGCATCCTCATCTCCTCGGATGCTGCAGAACTTCTGGATTTCATAGACAACCAGGGCCAGGTGCACGTGATCCAGAAATACCTCGAGCGCCCTCTGCTGCTGGAGCCCGGGCATCGCAAGTTCGACATTAGGTAAGGCATCCATTAGGAAACGCAGTGGTTTGTGCGGAGGAGGGTGAGGTACGATGTGAGGACCTGTTTGACTGTTTAATACGTTACTAACACTGAGCACAGCTGAATGAAACTGAGCTTCTGTATCTAATTCTCTATTTTTCCTACAGTAATTTCCTTTCTAAGATAATAGGGCTTTTTTTTGTTTGTTTGTTTGTTTGTTTGTTTGTTTACTATTTTCTTTAATGAAAATGATTTGTGAATCCAAAGGGAAAGGCATAAACATCTGGACCTTGCACCTGGTGCGGCTCAGTTGGTCCTCCCTTACACTGAAAGGTTGAGGGTTCAATTCCTGGTCAGGGTACATGCCTAGGTTGCAGGTTCCATCCCTGGCTGGGGACATACAAGAGGCAACTAATTGATGTTTCCCCTCTCACATTGATGTTTCTCTTTTTCTCTCTCTCTCTAAAATCAATAAACATATTCCCAGGTGAGGATTAAAAAATAATACAGCCCTAGCCGGTTTGGCTCAGTGGATAGAGCGTTGGCCTGCGGACTAAAGGGTCCAGGTTCGATTCCGGTCAGGGGCATCTACCATGGTTGTGGGCACATCCCCAGTGTGTGTGTGTGTGGGGGGAAGGGCCCGCACGCGAAAGTGCGTGGTGTAGGAGGCAGCTGATCAATGTTTTTCTCTCTATTCCTCTCCCTTGCTCTTTGTAAGAAATCAATAAAATATATTTCAAAATATAAATAAATAAAAAATAATACATACATACATACATATATAAATTGCCTTACAATGGGAGAGATATACACGGGTTTGTAATTAAGACCCAACAGATCATGTGACCTTGACAAATAATATTTCCTGACTTTATTTATGTCCTACCTTTTGAAGATTTCATGAACACATCTCAGGTTTGTGGACTTTATTCTCTGAGCTGAGGGGCTCTCTAAAGCGGCATGACCCTCAGCCCCGCCTGCTTTTGGCCTTGCTGTTGGCTCTTCAGAAAGGACTTGGTCTCAGCTGCCTTTATGTCAGGTCAGATTTAGGATGGACAGTCTTCCTCTTAAAATTATTTAAAATTACCAAACATGGCAAATGGAGGTTTCACCGATCAACCTTTAAAGCAAACCAATCCAATCTCTTCAAAATGCTGGCTCTTGAATAAGGACTGGAGTCCCCTTGTCATTGGTGGTGACATGTCTGGTTTGATCATTACAGAGCTAGTCCACTGTCTCAACCACTTGTTGTGGCCTGCCTTGAATGATTTAGAGCCTACATCTGCCTCTACTTCCCGCCAAGAAAACCAAGGAGTGGGCATGATATAGATACCTGATGTGAAGGAACTTGGGGGGACTTGAGTAACTGTTTGTGTTGACTTGCAGAAGCTGGGTCTTGGTGGATCACCAATATAATATCTACCTCTATCGGGAGGGCGTGCTGCGGACTGCATCAGAACCGTATCATGTTGATAATTTTCAAGACAAAACCTGCCACTTGACCAATCACTGCATTCAAAAGGAATATTCAAAAAACTATGGGAAGTATGAAGAAGGGAATGAAATGTTCTTTGAGGAGTTCAATCAGTACCTGACCAGTGCTTTGAACATTACCCTGGAGAATGCTATCTTAGTCCAAATCAAACATATTATAAGGTAACCTAAATGTATCTTTTTAGTTATATGTGTCTTAGAGAAGCTTTGGGAGTGTGTGTTTTTCAAGGGATTATTTCATTTAAGTTGTCTAATTTAAAGACAAAATTCTTTTGTAATACTTCTTTTTTATCCTTTTTAATATTTGTAGGATCTCCAATGATGTCACTGCTTTCATTCCTTATAGTGGTAGTTTATATCTGCTCTATTCCTTGGATGATTGAATTGGCTAAAGGCTTATCAGTTTTATTAATTTTCTAAAAAGTTAGTTTTTTTGTTTGACTGGATATCTTTATTGTTTTTGGTTTTGTTTTCTTTGATTTATGCTGTTTATTATTTCCTTCTGCGTTTGGGAGGTGTTTAATTTTTTTTTTTTTTTGCTTTGTGAAAAGTTAGATCATTTATTTGAGAGACTTCATTTTTTAAAAATATAATAATTTGCCCTAACTGGTTTGGCTCAGTGGATGGAGCATCGACCTGCAGACAGAAGGGTTCCAGGTTCAATTCTGGTCAAAGGCACATGCCAATGTGGCATGCTTAATCCCCAGTAGTGGGCATGCAGGAGGAAGCCAATCAATGATTCTCATTATTGATCTTTCTATCTCTTTCTCTTCCTCTCTGAAATCAATGAAGATATGTTTTTTTAAATAATAAAAATCAAAATATAAACATTTAATGCTATCAGTTTCCCTCTAAGTACTCATGGGCCATACCTCCAGATTTTGCTATATTGTGTGTGGTTTTTTTTTTCATTTTATTAAAATAATTCATAGTTTCTCTTGTGACTTTATATTTGACTCATGTGTTATTAGAAACTTTTGCTTAATTTCCAAATAGTAGGGGATTTTTCCAGATATCTTTCTGTTACTGATTTCTACTATAATTCCATTGTAGTCAGAGAATATAGTTTGTATGGTTTTGTGTCTTTAAAATGTGTTAGTTTCATGTTCTAGAATATGATCCATCTTTGTGAATGTTCCGTGTGCTCTAAGCATAACATTTACTTGCTCTGCTTAGGCTGTGTTCTATAAACGCGACTTTGGTGAAGGTGGTTGATAGTGAGGTTCATGTCTTTTATGTCCTGGCTGTTTTTCTGTTCCACTGTTTATTATTGAGAGAGAGAAAAATAAAAGTCTCCAAGTGTTTAGATTTTTCTATGTCTCTTTTTAGTTTTAGCAGTTTTTGTTTTATATAGTTTGAAGATCTATTGTGAGGTGCATATATGTTAGAATTGTTGTCTCTTTTGGGAAAATTGACTACTTTATTATTGTATAATATCTGTCATTATCTCTTTAGTATTTCATATCTTAAAGTTGATTTTTTATTAATATAATCACTCCAGCTTTCTTTTAATTAGTTGTATCTTCTTCCCATTCTTTTACTTCTATTCTATCCTATCCTATCCTATCCTATCCTATCCTATTCTATAGGATTCTGGTAGACAGTGTAGAGTTGAGTTTTTTGTTTTATTTTGTTTTGTTTTGAATATAATATAATAATCTCTGTCTTTTAATTGCTATGTTTATACCATTTAAGTTTAATGTAATTATTGGTTTGGTTAGATTTATATCTACCATGTTATTATTTGGTCAATATATTCCCTCTTTCTTTGTTTTTATTTGCTTTCATGTCTCCATTTCCTGACCTCTTTAGAATTATTTGAATATTTTCAGAGTTCTGTTTTAATTTTCCTATTGAATATTTGGCTCTATTTATCTGCCTATATTTTAGTGGTAAGTCTAGGGATTACAAAAATATACATATCTCATATTTCAGTCTTCTTAGAGTTAATTCACCACTTCACATAAAATGCAGACATAACATTATAGATCATTTGACTCTCCATCTCTATGTTACAGTTGCCACTTGTATTACATCTACATATATTGAAATCTCTACCACATAATATTATAATTTTTGGTACCAACCATTAATTACATTTTGTTATGTAGATAGCCAAGTTTGGTTTTAAAAAATATAAGGCCAAACTGGATGCTGTCTATAAGAAACACACTTAAATATAAAATAGGAAAAAACATTTTTATTCACCCAGATATTTGCCTTTTTTTTTTTTCTCTTCCTTTAGTCCCGAGGTTCCAGATTTCTCTCTGATATCATTTCCCTTCAGACTTTGTCATTTCTTTTAGAGCCGTTCTGCTGGTGATAAGTCCTCTTAATGTTCCATCATCTGAAAAAGTCTTTATTTCTCTTATTCCTGAAGGGTATTTTCACTGGAATTACACACACATAACATCAATCACAAAAATAAAAAAAATAAAAGCTGTATACAAGACACATACAGATTGATTCTATTCATATAAACTGAAAAACAAGCAAAGTTTAGTAAATACATTATTTAGAGGACGGCACATATGTGATAAAAATAAAGAGAGAAGCAACAAATTCAAAATAGTGATTTTCTCTGGAGAAAAAGCAGGAGGGACCAAGGAGGAGGCCTGATAGTGTGGATGTGGGTACATGGATGGTCATTAATGCTCCATGTATTTCAGACTCGTTTTTATTAGTATATTTATTTTGTCTTTATTTTTAAAGAACATTTGCTCTGGAAACAGATTTCTAGGTCAGCAGTTAATATTTTTTTATCATTCTGAAGGTGACACCATTATCTTCTGGCTTCCATTTTTTTCTTCTTCTCAGATGTCAACTGAAATCTTAATATTGCTTTTAATGACTTTTTTCTCCATTTTTAAGATTAATTTTTTAAATATATTTTACTATGAGATGGGTATAGTTTTCTTTGTACACATTTGTTTGTACACATTCATAGTGCTTCTTGAATCTTGGAATATTCATGGTCATTATTTTTCAATTATGGCTTTTGTCCCAGGGAAGCCTGCATAGTTTCCCTTCTAACTGCACAATTGAGTATAAGGACAGCTATCTGTGGTCATCTTAGAGTTATCATATGTATTTTATTACTAAGACTGGAGGCCCAATGCACGAAATTCTGCCCCAGCCCTCACAGCCCCGGCTTCGCCCGGAAGGGTTATTAGGAAGGCCGTCAGGAAGGTTGTTCGGCTGTCCGGTCAAGTTAGCATGTTATGATTTTATTTTTATAGATAGGGAGTTGCCCCAACGTTCAGTTAGGGAAAAATCAGGGAGATCTTCATGAAACAGAAAAGGCCTACGTATTCTGGGATGGCTGTATTAGAGAACAGCGACTTATTATTCTTAAGCTCCTGGGTAATTATCTCGTTAGACCATCTCGGCACCAGGAGTAAGTATAATATTACTTTACCTTCTGCTCTATGGAAATCAAAGCTTAGCTCCACGAGGTTAAAACATGGACCAAAACTCTGGCCTCGGTAGCCTGACCTCTGACCTCACTTACTTACTCACTATGTTTCTGAGATTCGCTTTCAACTTTTATATATTTTTTCAAATTTTTATGTTTTATAGTGCATGTTCTGTTTTTCCAATTTTTCTGTTTTTCCAATTTTTTGAAACAGTAGTTGATGCTAATAATTATTCTGTTTCCACATTTAGTTTCAATATGTGTAGCTCTTCAATCTTTTAATTAGTAACAATTTGGCCACAGAACTAGAACAAGCGAAAGAAACGAATGAGGCCAATAGTTTTTGTGCCAACTCTTCCCCTCACTGGTTGACCATTGGCCCACGTCTTTTCTCTGGAAAACATGCATGAAAGTGTTTTACTTACTATAAACAAAATGGGCAGCAGCCGTCCTGAGGGAGGAAACCCTCCCCCCGTCCCCTTTCCAGGGGCCAAGGCGACAGCTCAGAGCTGGGAAAGCCGCCTGTTTTTGTGAAGACATGCATGGTTACAGTCTGCTAACAAGCTGCCCGATACGTAGCTTTGTCTTGAAGAATCTGTCAGTAACAACTGGAAAAGGAGAGGACGAAGTCAAAGCCAACGTTTGGCAGCACATTTCACGGGCAGTCCTCTGGCCCATCTCTGGTCCCTTCGCCCTCCCAATTCTCAGCAAACTGTCCCTCTGCCCGCAGGAGCTGCCTCCTGAGCGTGGAGCCCGCCATCAGCACCCGGCACCTCCCTTACCAGAGCTTCCAGCTGTTTGGCTTCGACTTCATGGTGGACGAGGAGCTGAAGGTCTGGCTCATCGAGGTCAACGGCGCCCCCGCTTGTGCTCAGTAAGCCTCACACCGCTGCGCTGGGACAGGAGGAAGCTGGGATGGCCTGTCTCAGCGAGGTCTCCTTGGCTGCTGTCAGGGAGGAGGTGGCAGGACAGGAGTCCCTGGGGACCCTACTGGCAGGGGCTTGGCGGAGGCCTTGCCTCTCCCGTTTCCTGTGTGTGTGTGTGTGTGTGTGTGTGTGTGTGTGTGTGTATGTATGTATGTGTGGAGCCCTTAGGCTGCTCAGGCGGGTGGTGGCTGCAGGAAGAGTTGCAGACACAGCTAGAGACTGCAGGGGAGAATATGAGGGAGCAGGGTCCTGGAGTAGAGACGGTGACGACCAAGGAGGTCAGGCCCCCTCCTGGGCAGCAGGTGGTTGGAAAAGCATTGGCGATGTATTGGAGCTGGAGCTGGGACTGAGAGGAGGCGTGTGCCCAGGGAGGCTGGGAGCCTTCAGGAAGGGGCATGCACCAGCCCGGCTCTGGGGCGAGCAAGGGTGGGCAGAACCTGCCCTCCAGGACAGCTCCTGTGGCTTCAGGGGAAGCCAGTGCAGGTAGCCTCAGTGTCATGCAGTGAGGAGTGATGGGGGGACGCTCGGGGTCACGCAGTGAGGAGTGACAGGGGGACACTCGGGGTCACGCAGTGAGGAGTGACGGGGGGGCGCTCGGGGTCACGCAATGAGGAGTGACGGGGGGGACGCTTGGGGTCACGCAGTGAGGAGTGACGGGGACGCTTGGGGTCACGCAGTGAGGAGTGACGGGGACGCTTGGGGTCACGCAGTGAAGAGTGACGGGGGCGCTCGGTGTCACGCAGTGAAGAGTGACGGGGGCGCTCAGTGTCACGCAGTGAGGAGTGATGGGGACATTCGGTGTCACACAGTGAGGAGTGACGGGGACGCTCGGTGTCACGCAGTGAGGAGTGACGGGGACGCTCGGTGTCACGCAGTGAGGAGTGACGGGGACGCTCGGTGTCACACAGTGAGGAGTGACGGGGACGCTCGGTGTCACACAGTGAGGAGTGACGGGGACGCTCGGGGTCACGCAGTGAGGAGTGACGGGGGCACTCGGAGTCACGCAGTGAGGAGTGACGGGGGGACGAGGTCAACGGTGCCCCCGCTTGTGCTCAGTAAGCCTCACACCGCTGCGCTGGGACAGGAGGAAGCTGGGATGGCCTGTCTCAGCGAGGTTTCCTTGGCTGCTGTCAGGGAGGAGGTGGCAGGACAGGAGTCCCAGGGGGACGGGGGGACGCTCGGTGTCACTCAGTGAGGAGTGATGGGGACGCTCGGTGTCACGCAGTGAGGAGTTACGGAGGGACACTCGGTGTCACTCAGTGAGGAGTGATGGGGACGCTCGGTGTCACGCAGTGAGGAGTGACGGGGACGCTTGGTGTCACACAGTGAGGAGTGACAGGGGGACGCTCAGGGTCACGCAGTGAGGAGTGACGGGGGGGGACGTTCAGTGTCATGCAGTGAGGAGTGATGGAGCAGACACGGTCTGGACTGCTCTGGGCAACGCCGCACATGTGAGGGACAGGCATTGGACTCGATTCTTAAAGACATCTGTCCTTCTGAGACCCACTGTCATCTTTTCCTTCATGTGCACATCCTGGAGAAGCAGGTCTTCCGAAGGGTCAGCAGGAAAGAGGAGTGTGCTCAGGGCGGTCTGCTGCAGAACAGAGACGGACAGATGCTGCCCGAGTAACTACTGTGGGCCATACTGTCACACATCTGCAATAGGCAGGCAGTAGGTGCTGTGGGTTAGGTGCGTGGCTTTGAGAGGGGAGGACTACTGGACTGGGAGTGGCTTACAGGAAGGTGGCCTGGAAGCCACAAGGGCCCCGGGCCACCCTGAGAGGCCAGGGGCAGGGGATGGGCCAAGTCCCAATTTTAGTAACAACCACCGCACCTCACACGCCTCCTGTCACTGTTCCTTATGGGCGGGCGGCTGCGTGGTTTGCAACACAGAACCTCCGGGCAGTGACAAGGAATGGGGTGCGGGGAGAAGGTCCTGTGAGGCCTCTGGTGTTATAGGTTGAGTGGCCCAGAGCATAACCAGAAGCAAGTTTTCTCTCGGGACCACACACTGCTGGCTCACCCTGCATTAGAGCCGGTCCTGAGGTGAGCTGCCCCATGAAACAGGCAGACACTATAGAGAATAGCAGGGGTGGAGGGCCTCGTCGCTGTTCTGAAGTTTGCCTCCTTAGCTTTTCTGCTTTGCTGCTTCCTCTCCCTAAACTGAGTCCAGAGCCTCGACGTGGCCTCCGGGCCCGAGGTGGCCAGGCCAGTGCCTTGTCTGCAGCTCCAGCCTGCACGGATCCACCTCCCCAATGCCCTGGCTCTCTCCCTGCTCCTCCTCTCATTGTGCTGCCTCTTCTCCCCCCCAGCTCGCTCTCCCTCGCCCCTCCCTCCCTCCTCCGAGTCTGTGTCCCTGCCTTTGCTCTCCTGCATCCTCTTCTCTACCCTGTCCCCATTCTCCGACTTCATTCATTCCCCTGGCCTCAGCTCAGTGACACTCCTGGGGAGTCTTTCCTAACGTCCTCTCAACCACAAGGAGGGGATTTTCTGTGGGAGGCCTGCCCTCCGTGTCCCCAGCACAGACAGCAGGCGGCCCGTAGCCTCTGCTGGAATTGCCGTCGCCCCTGCAGTCCACGTCAGAGTGGGGTTCTCTGTCACTGCGCCTAGGAGGCCTTGCAGACGCCTCCCGCCGTGTCTGTGTGGACGGCGGAGGCCTGTTGTGTAAATGTGGTCGGGGTGGGATTGCCAGGGCAGATCCTGGTGAAAAAGACCTCGGCTTCTCGCTTGCACGTGGATGAACTTCCTCGGTAACACCTTTTTGAACCCGTTTCAGGAAGCTCTACGCGGAACTGTGCCAGGGCATCGTGGACATAGCCATATCCAGCGTCTTCCCGCCCCCCGACGCCGAGCAGCAGCAGAGCCAGCCAGCCGCGTTCATCAGGCTGTGACCCCGAGACGTGGGGGTCCCGCTCCGCTCCGGGAGGGCCGCCCCGGCTCCACGGGAAGCCTCCGCGGGAAGAGGCAGCTTGCGAGGCTGTGATGGAGGAGAGAGTGCGGGAGCCCAGGCGGCCCCGCGGGGCTCCCGGTGGGCGGAGCGCTCTGCACTGCTGCCCAGACTCGAAAACTGCAACGAGTGTCCCCGAGGGGAGAGGACGGTGTTCTTCCAGGGGAAGCACGGGGATTTGGTTGTTTTCTTTCTCGTCCTTGGAAGCCGCGGTGTCTATGCTAAGGCCCTGTGAAAGCAGCGCTTCTCCCCCGGGGCCTCGGACCCGCGCGTGCCGTCTCCGTCTGCTGCAGCCCTTGTGCCTTAGCTCTGTGCCCAGCTGCAACCTCTGCCCATGCGGGGGCTGATGCTAGAGCATTTGGGAGGTCGCCGAGTGTCCCTGCTCGTGTGTCTCCCCCCCCCCCCCCCCCCACACACACACACACACACTCTGCTGTGGGAACCTGGACCAGCATGCACGCAGCCCTCGGTTCCGTGCTGTGCTCTGCCTCGCGGGGCAGGGTGCCGTCCTCATCCCGCTCCTGAAGGCACTGGGTCCGTCGTCGGGCGGTCGGGGTGGATGTGGGCTGGGCACCACTATAGCAAACGCTGCTGCCTGTCTGCTCTCTGCATGTTTTAGAAACCGAGCAGCAAGTTTGCCACAAGCCTGCAAGCATCAAAAAGCATGAGAGAAAAAAGACAATGCCTTGCTTGACTTCACAGTTGGGTGTCCTTGAAATATGATGGATCTATTATCTTTGTCTGAACTGGAATTCATGCACTTTTGCGAAGTTCCTGGGGGTCCAGAGAGGGCAGAATACCCCTTCCCCCAAGGTGGTCCTGCCCCTGACGCAGGGAGCTCCCACCATCTCCTTCTTCCCTCCCAGCACCTGCTGTGGGAGCGGGAGGGGGTGGTGTTCCCGCCAGGAGGCTCTGCCTCGGGGTGAGGCTCTCAGAGAGTATCTGTCTGCCTGAATGGGAGCGTCTCCCGGAATGAGAACGATGTGCTTTTGGAACTTCCCACGGCATCCTGCAGGTCCGCAGTTGTGTCCTGTTAGGTGTGGTGTGGTTTTTACTGACTGGACCGGAGAGCGTTCTCCAAGGCTTTTCAGGAAGCCACGCACTCGCAGTGGGAAGAACAAGATGCCACGTGTGATCGCTGAGCCGAGTGAGTGGGCCTTTCTTAGAGCGCTGGATCCCAGCAGACCCACGGACCAGGCCCCTTCTTGGAACGTGGTGTGTGCTTCCTTGGTGTGTGTCTGTATGTGTGTGCGCACTCCGTTACTCGTCCTCCTTGCACACAAAAAAGCAGGTCTGCAGTCAGGAAGACTTTTTAAAACTATTTTTTTATTTTAGAGAGGAAGAGAGAGGGGGAAAAAACATCAATGATGATGGCTGCCTCCTGCACATACCCCACAGACGACCGAGCCCACAACCCGGGCCTGTGCCCTTGAACAGAATTGAACCCGGGACCCTTCAGTTTGCAGGCCGATGCTCTATCTTCTGAGCCAGGTTGGGAAGACGTTTTTTAAAAGAAAAGAAAAAGCAACTGTTCCTCAAGTATGATGTGATGTGAGAGCTTACATGTGGGCGGAGGATGTGAAGGTGATGGTGGATAAGAGGAGAGAGACCCCGCTGGGTGGGCTGGCATGGGGAATTGGAATTACAATGCCGTGGCTGCTCAGAGGACAGTCTGTGAAGTTTGCATGCGGAGCACAAGGACCCTGTTGATGGTTACAGTCGCTTCTGGAGGCCCGGCGTGGCTGCTGGGTTGATGTTGGAGACTTAGCACGTGGCCAGGCGCACACCCGTTTAGAAAGCGGGGTACAGGGTTCTGCGAGCTGGTAATGGGGAATGCGTGGAAGGTGTTCACAGATGTGTAATGTGAACACAGATGTGTAATGACCTTTTGGTCCTAAGTTACAATAATGTTTGAGAGTTTTCCAGCTGCTACAGTGACAGAGCTAAGAATGCAATATTAGGAAGTCTGTGGCTCTTGATGGATTTTCTAGGGAACCTGAATCAGTAGCATATGTACGAGGGAAGTGAGGCTCTAAAAAGGAAATGGTACCTCATTCCTCATGTGTTTTCAAATAAGTGTCTGTCTATCTTTACTTTTGACCAGGGACTGGTGGCCTCGGAACAGTCCCATCCCCTCCGTGCTGTCCTGGCACAGGTGGTCCTGCCTCGCTGCCCGGCAGCCTTCCTGTGCGTGTCCATGTCCATGTCACCAGTTGCTGGGGAGGAGGCGCCTTTCATTGGAGATGTCGACTCCAGTCTTGGCTCTGCCATTGGCTGCTCGGTGTTGGGTGAGCTGTAACCTCTCTGTGCCTTAGTTTCTTGTCTCACAGAAGAGATTGTTGCCAGACCTGGGACTACCTCACAGGCTTTAGTGAGGACAAGGGAGATTAGCGAGACTCAGGAGCCTTCTGTACCAAGACTCCTAACGCTGGCTGTGTGCCGGAACCACTCCTGTCAGGGCGGGGGTCCACACGGAGCCCCTCCACCCACCCCGGCGATTGAATCAGAACCTCGGGCAGCGGTGCGCTCCACCATGCCTGGACCCGCTGCTTGAGGAGGAGGGGAAAACACATTCTTATCACCTGGAAAGAATCCAGTAGGGTCCAGGGCTTTTAAAAAGTTCCTCTTGGAAGAACAGGCATTTCTTTCCGGAAGGACCCGGTGCTGTATTCATGCTACCAGTGCCGTCTAAGCAGTTCTCTCTTTGCTTCTTGTCAAACAGGCCTTCATCCACTTACAGTCCGGGAAGACTTGGCAACGAATGTAAACAACAGGAATTTATAAATCTGCTAAATAGGCATTAAGGTTATTAATTCTTGAAAGAAAAGCCCCTTTCCTCAAACTTAACTCCTGCGGTATTTAGAGCTCAGTTTTACCCAGAACATGCAACTGCCTCAGTGTCTGTGTGGTACAGAGGAGCAGGTGCTGGTATACTTACCGTGGACACGGTATTTCCCCAGCGCCTTGGATGTTTATCACAGACTTGGGGTGAGCAGTAGTGTGGGAAGGGATGGGATCCACAGCACCCACAGGGGAGTGAAACTACAGAGTGTGTTTAACTGTTGGCACTGTCAGGCTGCGATGCATGTGGTGGTGGTGGTGGGGGAGGGGATTCTACTGGGAAAGACAAGGCCCCTGAGTGGTCCCACAGCATGGGGGAGCCGAGAAGAAAATTCAGAGATACACGGACTCTGTACCTAAGAGGAAATAACTTCTGAAATAAGGTGATGTTATGAATGTTTAAAATGCCTGGAGCATTAAAGTGAAGTAATCATATTTCAAGTGTTCTTGTTCCTTTGGTTCTGTCATCTTGTTGTTTGTGTTGACTGTCCTAGCAACCATCGGTTGTTTGAGTTCATGACTCTGTCGGTCAGACTTTCTGTAAAGTGTCAGACAGTAAATATTCAGGCTCTGCAGGCCATGCAGAGTCTCTATGCATTTTCTTCTTTGCCTTTTCCCCAGCTCTTAAGAAATATATAAAGCATTCTTAGCTCAAAGGCCACACAAAAACAAACCAGGTGTAGACATTATTGGCTCAACCCAGCATGTTGTCTAATACTAACCCAAAAGATTGTCTCTTGTAATTGAGATGTACATGGGTTTTAAAACCTTCCACATAGTTCTAAGAGTATATAAGCCCCCAACAGACACTTACAATATTGTGTTGAAAGCCTGGGCAATGTGTGTGTGTGTGGGGGAGGGGTTGGGGGGAGAGGATTATAGGGTGGAGGGAGCCAATGCAGGAAGGGGGTAAAGATAAATTTCTTAAAAATGAATATAGAAGGCCACACATGTGTGTGCCCAGGGGAGACTTGAATTCCCTCAGCTTTCACCTCTGTCTGACTTGGAGGGTCTTCACAAGCAAGAAGTGATGACTAAGGCAGAGCTGTAACCTCCTTCCTGAGCATGAAGGCATCACACACTCACACACACACACACACACACACACACACACACACACAACAGTCCCTGGGCAAAGACTAGGAGACTTACTTGTTCCAGACTATTTAGGAAATCTCTATGCGATCAGTTGACCACTAAGGTAACTGAACAGAGACTTTGGTGGCCACACATAACAAAGAATACAGGTTTTACAGAATTAGCTCAGGAGAGTCACTAAATAGTTACAATAATAAACTCTGGAGAGGGGTAAGTATCTGGTCTCCAAAGTTGGCTCACTATATCATTAAAATCTTCCAATGTTTAACACAAATTGTGGGATATGCAAAGAAAGAATGGCCCTAGAGGGAAAAGGCAGTCCAATAGAAATGGTCCCTAAGGAAGCCCAGGTATTGAACTTAGTATACACACAGACTTTAACTCCGGCTCTTTAAAGTATGCTTACATAACTAAGTGAGAAGAATGGCATTGAAAAGTACAACCATACAAATAAAAAATTCATTACAGGTGTTCAAAAGCAGGTTTGAGCTGGAAAAAAGGAATCTGTGAATCTAAAGTCTGTTGAGATTATTCAGGCTACAGAACAAAAGAAAAAAGAAGAAAAATGTACAGCACTCTAGAGATCTGTTCAGAGACATGCATGTATACCAACATATACATAACACGGGTCCTAGAAAAGAAAGGGGCAGAAAACTTTCCCACTTTGGTGAAAAACATTAAAATGCATGTGAAAAATTTAATGAGCTTCAAGTAGGATAGACTCAAAGAGATCCACATCAATACACATTAATCACTAAGAAAATAACTTTAGCCGAAACCGGTTTGGCTCAGTGGTAGAGCGTTGGTCTGTGGACTGAAAGGTCCCAGGTTCGATTTCGGTCAAAGGCATGTACATTGGTTGCGGGTACATCCCCAGTAGGGGGTGTGCAAGAGGCAGCTGGTTGATGTTTCTCTCTCATCAACGTTTCTAGCTCTCTATCCCTCTCTTCTCCTCTCTGTGAAAAATCAATAAAATATATTTTTTTAAAAATAACTTTAATTATAGTAAAAAAAAAAAAAGACAGGAACTAATATATTACACTAGAAATAACTAACAAAAGTGAAGGCAGTGCTGAAACTGGTTTGGCTCAGTGGATAGAGCCTGTGGACTGGAAGGTCCCAGGTTCGATTCTTGGTTGCGGGCACATCCCCAGTAGGGTGTGTGCAAGAGGCAGCTGATCGATGTTTCTCTCTCTCCTTGATGTTTCTAACTCTCTCTTCCTCTCTGTAAAATATATATATAATAAAATAAATAAAACCACGGATTGGCAGGGCTTTCGGTTTAAAAAAAAAGTGAAGGCAGTAATGAAGGAATAAGGGGAGGTATAAGGCAAACAGAAAACAAATAGCAAAATGGCAGACATAATCCTACCTTATCAGAAGTTTCATTAAATGTAAATGGATTAAACACTTCAAACAAAAGGCACAGATGGCAAAATGGATTAAAAAAGAAAACCAAACTATAATACCATGATCCACCTCTGCAATCTACTAAAGACACCAATAGGTGAGAGCAAAATGATGAAAAAAGATATACTGTGTAGTAATTCAAAGAGAGTTTGAATAGCCATTCAATATTAAACAAAATAGGCTTTAAGAAACAAAGTTATCATTATAGGCAAAGGACATTTATTAATGATAAAGGGTGTGATTCATCAGGGAGATAATATATATATATATATATATATATATATATATATATATATATATATAGCTAATGTGCTAAGTGTCCCTCCTATCATCTGACCAGTTACTGTGACGTGACTGACACCACAAAACTGGTGACACTGGCACAAGATTAAAAAAATCTAAATGCAGGAGCTGCCTGATGCACACTAGTCATTTACAAAGAAATGGCCCCATGGACCTGGTGCCAACAACCCAACACTTGGCTTTTCCCAAGCGGGACCCAGGCCCTGCCACCACCCCGGAGTGACACCCCACCAAATCACACCCAATGCTGCCAAATGGTGCAAAATGCAGCCCAGCCCAGAAATGGTTGCTGTGGGTGCCAGGTAATGGTGTCATGCAGCAATGACTGGCTTCCTCTCCCTAGTGACTAGCCTCCTTGGTCGGGTGTCACTCTGGTACAATTTAAGACTGTGTAACTTGTTGTCTATTGATTTTACCCAAGTACCAAATGCAGCTGTTAAATACATGAAGTTGAGGTACCTGAGGGTCCTGCTAAATTCCTATTCAGAGAAAGTATTCCTAGGCATCAGACTAAAGGATTTTAAGACTGGGAGGCCCTTGAATGTTGCCTTCCCTCGGCCTACAGGACGAGGGGATCAGGCAGCGAGGGTCAAGTTCCCTTCTTGACCCTCCTGAAAGGAGCCTTTACAACTCCAATTGAGCAGAGAGCAGTCAGCGATTTATTCCCTCGAAGCCTCAGCAACAGCAACGACCCGAAAGCGGCCAATGGGAGTAAGGGAAATTTTGAAGATTGATCTCCTAGGCCCCTGGAGCGAAAGAGAACCAGAGTACATTGCTGAGTTGGGCAGGGCGCTTTCTAGCTCGGTACAGTTGACGCCAGGGTTTGGTTTCCAAGTCAACCCTATAAGACGACGGACCGACATCCGGTGGAAGTAGAGGAGCTGCATTTCCTGGCGGACCGTGGGATCTGCGCCTTTTTCCGGCGCTGCAGAGGCGCGCTGGCAGCGGGCGTGCAGGGCTGCATGGATTCCGGCGGCCGGTGGCGGGGCTTGCCCAGCGGGCCCAGCCTCAGGCACTTGACGGATCCCTCGTATGGGGTCCCCCGGGAGCAGCAGAAGCCGGCGCTGCAGGAGCTGACGCAGGCGCACGTGGAGTCCTTCAACTACGCGGTGCGCGAGGGGCTCAGCCACGCGGTTCAGGTGAGTGCGGCTCCGCCAGGCTCCCTGCGGCTCGGCGCTCTCTGGCGCTGCTAGATCGGGTGGAGGAGAAGGGCCCCGTGGGGCTGGAGGCGGGCGGCGGGTGGGAGATGGGGATGGGGAGACCCACGAGGCGAGGTGAGTGGGGCACTGGCGGGGGACCGGGTCCCAGACAGATGAGATGGCTGGAGGTCACAGCATAATCCCAAATAGTTGTGCTTCTTGTTCGTGCCAGCCGCAGCACGGGGCTTGCGCTCAAGTCGATAAGGGGAAGATGTGTTTGTTGTTCCTGGATTTTTGTGGGATTGGGAACTGTAGTGCTTTGTAGGACAGTAGGTTCTGTGAGAGGGAGGGAGTGGCCCGCGTGGGCTGAGCTTCCCAACCGGAACCTAGTGTTCACAGTTAACACGAGGAGAGCTCAGTGGAACAGCGGAGCTTTTCCCGGGGGAGAAGGAGGGCACAGAAAAGCAAATGCTGTGGAGGGGAGGGGCGGAGGAAGGAGGAACCTGGTGGTACCACCTTTCCCTTGACAAGTGTGAGACCACGTGGAACGAAATGTACAAATATCAGCCTAAAGGATGACATTAGAATGTCCGGTCCTGAATCAGGAGATGCTTCCATAACTTTGCTCTGTTAGCAGTCCGTCAGTCTTACTACCCATGTAGATGCTACAAAGTAAGAAGAGAGAAGGCAGGCTCCTGATTCAGAGGACAGCTTTGTTCTGTGCACAGTGGTCACCTCAGAGCCTGCTGCAGAAGCTGACACATGGTAGACATTCAGATGTCCTGAGAGAATGCCTTGTAGTTTTTGGTACATAGTAATGTTGTGAGTAGACTGGATGTACAGCTGTAACTGTCTTTTTAATGCCACATTAACATAGGCATCGATGTTTGTAGAAAATTCACAGGCTCTGGAAGAGCCTTAGTGAAGAAGTACCTTGGACATGCAGGCAATTGATACTGTGAATTGTATTTCAGGCTATACCTCCCTTTGAATTTGCTTTCAAAGATGAGCGGATCTCTCTTACTATTGTGGATGCCGTCATCAGCACCCCCACAGTTCCCAAAGGGAGCATCTGCAAAGAGTTCAATGTCTATCCTGCAGAATGCCGGGGCAGGAGGAGCACCTACCGGGGAAAGCTGACAGTGAGTACAGTGACAGTATGCTGTAGTGAGTACACTGGACATGTCTGAGAATATTGGTGTCCAATAAAATTTAACCAGGATTCTGCTTATTACTGTCACCCAAGAGATCTCATCTTTTGAATCTGAAGCATAAAAATCATCTAGTATATGGCCTTTTTCCTCTTTTAAAATACTCATTTGTTCTTGTAGTTCCAGATACTTTGTTTTTTTGTAACTATTTTTTTCATGTAGGCTGATATCAGCTGGGCTGTAAATGGAGTCACTAAAG